AAAAAAAAAAAATTAAAGAAAGTTACATACATCATTTAGAATGACTGGAATATAGAAGATAAAGTGAAAGGCAAAGCTAGCATATTAATTTCCTGGTAGTGTTTGAAATTTTACCTAAGATGCAAGGAAGAACAACTATAGAGGTTTATACCAGGCATAACTACCAGGTGCTGGGGTAGAAGTGTGGCTCAGGTGGTAGAGTGCCAGCCAGTTTCAGATAGCAAATTATGCCTGTAATCCTACCTACTCAGGAGACTGAGATCTGAGGATCATGGTTCAAAGCCAGCCCGGGCAGGAAAGTCCATGACTTTTTTTTTTTTTTGGTTGGTCATGGGGCCTGAACTCTGGGCCTGGGCGCTGTCCCTCAGCTCTTCAGCTCTAGGCTAGCGCTCTACTTGAGCCACAGCACCACTTCCAGCTTTTCTGCTTATGTGGTGCTGAGGAATAGAACCCAGGGCCTCATGCATGCAAGGCAAGCACTCTACCACTGAGCCACCTTCCCAGCCCGTCCATGAGACTCATCTCCAATTAACCACTAGAAAATTGGAAGTAGTGCTGTGGCTCAAGTGACAAGAGTGTTCACGTTGAGCTGAAGAGCTGAGGGAAAGCGTCCATGCCCAGAGTACAAGCCCCAGGCCTGACCAAAAAGAAAAAGAAACAGGGAGAGAGGAAGGAAGGAAAGGAAAGAAAACGACCAGGCACAACTTGATCAGTATGTGGTAAGGATTTCTCTTGCTGCCTTGAGTGGATGGATTTGACAGGGGTTGGAGGAGTGTCAATATCAGGTGGCAAAAGAAAAACCCTAAAGGGCGGAAGGCGAGGTGGGAAGGGGCTGAGGATGTCAAGCAATGAAACAATAAACTTCATTATCACGTGGATAGTTCAGAGACATCAAACTTCTGCCTTACTGTGGGCAGCATTTTACATTTTCTTTTCGCCCAGGGTCCTGCACTACTAGGCGAGCTCTCTACCAACCCAGCATTTGCTCTCTGCAGAATAAACAACTGTTCTAACGGACCAGCTCCGGTCCCTCAGGGCCCAGGGCTGCAGGCATCGCTCCCATGCAGTTCCCAGTCCCAGACAGCGCGGGCTGCGCCTCTTCCTCGCGTTTCATTCCATTCCACATCTTCCCGCAGACTTTCCCCCAGAGCAACGCCTCCGCGACCGGCCGGCAGGACCCGAGCCCCGGAGCCGCGACCTTGGGCCAGCCGGGGCGGCGGACTCGAGCCATGACCTTGGGCAAGGGCCCTGCTTCCCGCTGACCAGTGCTGCGGGACTGCGGGACGGTGGGGTTTCCTCCCCTTCCCCGCTCCCCCGCCCCCAGCGTGCCCGGTCTCCCGCTGCGCGCGTCACCAGGCCCCTCGCCCACGCCGCCTGCGTAGCCGCCGTCCGCACCCGCGCAGAGCTCTTCTTCCAGACGTTCGTTTACGCCTCGCGGCCCTGGGAGGGCGGGATTCCCGAACAGCGCTTACGCCGAGAGTGCGCGGCGCCGTCCGCTCGCCGCAGCGGCCTTACGCCGCTGACGCAGCGCGCCCAAGATGGCGGCGCGATCGTCGTCGGGGTTGGCGGCAGCAGAGGGGGCGGCGGCCGTGGCAGCCGCGGCGTCAGCATTCGTGACGGCGGTGGCGGAGGCGCGAAACTTGGGTCGACGGGAATGAGGCGGCCGCGGCCGGCGAGCGGCGGAGCAGTGTAGCGGAGAAAGCGGCTCCCTCCCCTCTCCTCGCTGCTGTCCTCGGCCGTCCCGCGAGCGCGCGCGTGCGCGGCCGCCCCGAGCAGGCTCCCCGCCCCTCGACTCCGCGACCCGCACCGCTCTCCCACCCGCGCCCGGAGGATGATGAAGCTCAAGTCGAACCAGACTCGTACCTATGACGGCGACGGCTACAAGAAGCGGGCCGCGTGCCTGTGTTTCCGTAGCGAGAGTGAGGAGGAGGTGAGGCGCCGGGCTGGGGGCGCCGGCCGAGGCCCGGGGGGTGGGGTGTGTGTCGCTCCGCTCGGCCCCGAAGAAGTTCCGGCGGGGTTTCCTGAGGCGAGAAAGGGGGAAGGAGAAGGGGCGAGGGGAAGTGGGTGGGAGCGCGGCCGGAGCGGGGGCCCGCCTCGCCGGGGCCCTCGGGGCCGGCCGCCCGTCACCTGGGAGCCTGGCCGCGGGGGAGGGCGGTGGACCAGGGTCCCCGGCGTGGCTCGGAGCCCGGCTGCTCCGCGCCTGTCAGCGCCGCACGTGTGTGCGGAGGCCCGCGGGGCACGAGGCGCAGGCCGGCCTTTGTGGCCGAGAAATGGTCGGTTTCCTAGGCACATTTGGGATGTGCCGGGATTAAGGGTCTGTGAGCCCGGCGGCGGGGGTAGGTTTAGGGGAGGTCTTAGAGAGATTTAGGGCGTCGGGCACCGGCCGAAGCTTGCTGTTTAGTTTTTCCAGTGTGCTGGCTATTCCTCACGGTGTGGCCCAAGAAGAAAGGACGTTTGATAAAATGATTTCTGCGGACTGAAATGTTTTCATTTTAACTGGAAAGAACCTACGGCGAGATTTAAGATCTTTGCTCTCTGGTAGTCTTCTACTGCCCTGTGGGAAGACCCTTAGGATTAAATTTCCTAGAAAATAAAGTATTTTAGAATCCATTTCTTTCTTTCTTTTTTTTTTCTTTTTGGTTTGTTTGCTTAGGGTAACTTGAGGGGCGAGGGAGGGAGTTGTGGGGAATCTCAGTTTCCCAACGCTGTTTCTGTGGTGATGAAGGGATTTTAGAGAAAGGCACAAGCTTTGCAAATCCACAAAGAATAGCTGCTTTTGGAAATTCATAAGATGCCTGTGGGAACACATTTCTCTCGTGTGTATGGTGGTAAAATGGCAGTTAGCCTGGAAACAATGAAGGACAGTGAAATTCAATCTGTTACATTACAGCATTTAGCAGTGGGCTCTGATGGCAGGGCTGCAGTACAGTGCTTCGTGTTGAAATGGGGGAACGGAACTTGACCCGTTAGTTATGAAAAGAAGCTGTGATGAAAGGGACAGATGGGCTGCCAGGAGCTGCAGTCCAGAGATATTTAAAAGGAAATGGAAATTTAAAGGATTGCCTGGAGAAAATTTGTGAAGCACTAATTGTGCTGTTGAAGGATGGCATGTGTGTCCCTCTTCAGAAAAGCAGGAAAGATTTGGAAATACATACTTTGTGTCCAGGCATTTATTATAAAAAGCCCCCAAAGACGATGTTGGGCTTGAGTGCTACTGAACAGGGACCTGCTGTAACTTATGAACGGTTTGGAATGCATATTTGGGTAAAATACAATTATTGGTGGTGGTGACTATTCTTGAGGCTTTGTTCTCTTCATTATCATGTCATATTATAGGAAATCAGATGGGATCACAGGCTGGTAACTGGAGGAAAAACTAATTAGCATAATAGCATGTCTTACTATACACTACTATGGTTAAGTCTGTGAGCACCCCAATTATAAATAGGATGCTGTATAATTTAGTTGTATGAATGATGCAAGACTTAAAAAAACATACTAGAATTGAAAACATGTATTTTGGATAAACTGGAAACCTTATAAAGACGATTAATTAATTTCCCTTTTTTTGTTGTTAAAAGTTTTACGGTGTACTAAAATTAATAGTGCTAATGTTTTACAATAACTTTCCAGTTGCAGCTACCCAACTGCCCTGTGCAAGTCGAACAAGCCATAAGACTCATATTTTAGAAGCTTAAAATTTTAAACTGTTAAAAGAGGTTTCTTTAGTAGGTTAAAGCACTTGCCTGTTATGGAGTTTTCTTTAGTGAATTTCTTTTTGAACATTGGTTAATGAACAGAAGAATCATGTAAATCTTTAATTATAGATTCAGTGGGTGTTAAAGCTAAAGCCTGGGAAGAAAAAGAAAATTAATGAAGTGGGCTGATTTTAGACTTTTAAGTTCAATTACACAAGCCTACTAAGGGTGTGGCACTCTTGTTATGTGGGATTTTAATGATAAGCAGTTCTCTCTATCCAGAGTAGTTTTAATTGAGATTCCCTTATTGGAAGTGATTTTTGTACTACAAAATAATTCGTAGGGTGCTATTCAACTCTCAGATTATATAATTGTGTTGGAAGGGAAATAATTTTTTAGTTCCAGGAGAACTTTTTATGTTCTTAATAGATCTGCCAGAGACTGGAAGTACTAGCTGCCATACATTGTGGGAAAATGAAATTCGAACTTCCTAGGACATTCAACCAGTTTTATTTATTTATTGTTTGTTTGTTTGTTTGTTGGTCATGGGGCTTGAAACTCTGGGCCTGGGTGCTGTCCTTGAGTTCTTCAGCCTGAGGAACTTTATTTATTGTCCAGCAATGAGAAGAGCCAGAATTTTAGAACCTAGCCTCATTGAATGCTAGGTTCTCTGCTACAAATATGAAGGAAATAGACAGGGAGGGAAGCCTAGAGTTTAGTGGGGATCCAACAGCATGGTGGAAATGAATTCTCTTTTTTCTAAACTTCTGGCTGCTTTTCATGTTCATAAACTAAAATTAACAAGCCCTAGGACCAGCCCCCCTATATAAATAATTAATAAGTTAATAAAAGACTAGTGGAGAGGCTCAAGTGGGAGAATGCCTCCTTTGCAAGTGTAAAGCCCTAAGTTCAAACCTTAGTGCCAATTATATATATATATATATATATATATATACATATGCACACACACACATAGATATGTATAATCTTGTATTTGATACTTATCATAAACAGAAATCAAACTTGCTGAGTAAGATATTATTATTCTATATTGGATAATATGATGGCATTCATCTTTGTCATGTTATTCAGCTTTGACTTTCTTCAAGAAATTCCAGTGGAATTGTTCCTTTTTCCCTCTTGTTTCTAGGAACCTCTGTGTTGAAGTGAGGGACAGGACTGGGACTCTTTGTGCTTGGTACCCTCCCTCTTGGAGGAGTGAGGAGGGTAACATTGGCAGTTTAGACAGTTAAAATATATAAGATTGTGAAATACTTTTAGAAAGCTCAGTGATGCAGAATAAATGCTAAATGACATCACAATGCCTAGGTAAGTCAAAGCTGTTCCTAAAGAGTCTTATTTTAAATGAAGGGGGAAAATGAGTATTAAGTTTGTCTCAGTTAGGTTGCCCTGTACATTAAAACTATTCCTAAAAAAAGACAGGATAAAACTTTTAAACTGGTCTAGAAAGGTGGCTCAGTGTTTGCCTTGCATGCATGAAGCCCTGGGTTCGATTCCTCAACACCACATAAGCAAAAAAAGAAAAAAGCTGGAAGTGGCACTGTGGTTCAAGTGGTAGAGCACTAGCCTTGAGCTGAAGAGCTGAGGGACAGTGCCCAGGCCCAGAGTTCAGGCCCCATGATGGGACCCAAAACAAAACAACAACAAAAAAAAACTTTTAAATTTAACACCTGGGTGTTTATTGAGTTTTCCACTAGAAGCCTTGTATCTCTCAAGCAAAGAGGAACTGTTTCTCGTTTTTTTCCTTTAACTCACCAGGTTGGATGGAGAGATGAGAGACAACCAGAGATCCTCAGTGGGCACAGACTCTGGTGGCCTGAGTGTTTGTCTCTAAAATGCCCCAGTGGAGTAGCTAGAAGTACGTCACTGTAGACCACACCTTCCACAGGCTCTAGAGAAGGGAGTAAGGCTCAGGTGGCAGTCCCAGTGGCACTAACCATGACAAATGGCTTCTAGTAGGTCCCTGACTGGTTGGAATTCTTGGTGTACATCTTGTTCATTGTCTAATATTATGTTTCTCTAAGATCACAAGGGGTGCTTTCAGTCAGCTTGGTGTAGTGACTGGACATTTCTGCTGTTCATTTCTCAAAATATTGACTTTTCTTTTTTTTTGGTCGGTCATGATGCTTGAACTTGGGGCCTAGGCACTATCTGTGAACTCTTTTGCTCAAGCCTAGTGCTCTACCACTTTGAGCCACAGTGCTACTTCAGTTTTCTGGTGATTAATTGGACATAAGAATCTCTGGACTTACCTGTCCAGGCTGGCTTTGACCCATGATCCTCAAATCTCAGTCTCCTGAGTAGTTAAGATTACAGGTGTGAGCCATTGGCACCCAGGCTCGCACAGTTGTTTTTTTTGTTGTTGTTGTTTAATAATAAGCAATAAGTCAGTTTATTAAAAACATTTGACTTAGGCATCTAGAGTGGTGACCTCAACCTCCACTCCTGGCTCAATACTGATGAAGTTACTGATGGACTGTGTAAGTCAGTGAGTCACTTGTGGATCCTCATCTGGAAGCAATCCCATGTCTTAGAACCTTTACCACAAGGGATTTTTCTTGTAGTGATTCTCAGTCTTGGTAGGCATACTCACTGGTCCTTTCACTTTGAGATTCTTTTCATTGGTGCCTCAAATCAGGTCAGCACATACCTTCTCTAGAGACTTTACATTTCTGCTGGTGAGGGTGATCCGAATCCAGTGAATCCCACCTCTGGCTCCATAGGTGTTTTTCCGGTGTCTTTAAAAGCCATAGCTGAGACCCAGTTTCTGATCCACTTGTTCCTCAAGCAAACAGCAGTTATAGTCAGGAGCAGGAGCAGGAGCGGCTGGGACAGAGTTCTGCACAGGTAGTTGCCTCTCCCCCAGAAAGCAGCTTTTTTTTGGGGGGGGGTCTGGTCATGGGACTTGAGCTCTGGGCCTGGGCGCTGTCCCTGAGCTTCTTTTGCTCAAGGCTAGCACTCTACTACTTGAACCACAGTACCACTTCTGGCTTTTTCTGTTTATGTGGTACTGAGGAATCGAACCCAGGGCTCATGCATGCTAGCACTCTAACATTAAGCCACATTCCCAGCTCATGAGACTCTTATCTCCAGTTAATCACAGAAAAAGCCAGAAGTGGCACTGTGGCTTAAGTGGTAGACACTAGCCTTGAGCAAAAGGAGCTCAAGGACTGCGCCTAGGCCCTGAGTTCAAGACCCAGGACTGGCAAAA